CCCATTATTATGCATGTCTTACTGGCATTGGAAAAGTTTTAAGTTCTGCAGTGAAGCATGGAAAAGGCTAATATGGATAAAAAATGTTTATATATATATATTTGACAAGCTATTGAGAATATAAAGATAAATAAAAATGAACATAATACATCATCAAATAACTCTAAACATATCAAATTACTATACCATAATCAAATGCATTCTATCTATAAGCAGAAGGAAAAGATTCTAAAAAAAAATCATAAACACTAATACATCCCCCACTGATCAAAATAAAAAAATAAAATTAATTACATAGTATATGAAATTTAATACAACCAACCCAGTCATTCAAAACAATTCTTCCCTGTCAACTAGCATCTTACAAAAAATCAACATAATATATATTGATTTACATGTCCTTTGGGAGATTGCATCTCTGATAAAAATGTTAATACATATGTTGGTTTTACAATGTTGACATTGACAAGACAGCTTATGTTTCACTTAAATGAGCATAGTTCAATCTCAGAACATTTAAAGAAACACTCATAGACAGATATTAATCAAAATACATTAGTACTTCATGAAAATAATAATAAGCAAAAGCTAAAAATTCTGGAATCCTTTTATATAAGAGAATTGTGGCCAAAAATAAATAAAATCAACTATGAGTATTGCAACAAAGTTCTTAAATGTTTGTAGCAGCAAAGTTTTATATAAAATATTAAATTCAAATATTATAACTAAAATCTTTTTCATTTTTAAATATTAAAATAAAAATTACAAAAGTTACCGCCCTTTTATAGCTAAAAATGTTCAATTCAAATTTGGAATGCTGTAAAACAGACAGTGAAAAAATATTTTTAATTTACGGAGCTACTGTATACACATCCACAGATATTTTAACCTCTTGAAGATGGTCTCAGATGAGATTGTTTGGAAAATAAAAAATTATTTCAAAGAAAATTTTGGAGCTTTTCTTAATCCATTTTCTACAGTGACCAAGAAATTATTTCATGAACTTTAAAGGATTAAAACTAAAATTAATAGACATAATACATCTAAATTATTTAACCAAACATGCTTGAATATACACGTGTGTGTGTGTGTGTGTGTGTGTGTACTTTTGTATAAATGGAAGTAAACTAGTTTCACAGGACAATTTGCCAGTATTGTAAGATTGATCCTCACTAATTTGACCTTATGTCAGACTAGCTACTTTCTTTCTCTATTTGCTCTTTCTCTCCAGGATGTGAGTGGTCATGTCTCTTTTGTCTTCTCTTGCTCTCAGTAACTCTTTCTCCTTCATGATCCTCACATTGTTTTTATAATACTTATTATTCCATCCATTTGTATAAACTTGTCAGATAGGTTACTTACTGCTTTCTTCTGCTTTTCTTGTCTTCCGTATGTCCTGTAAGTTTTGAATTCTCTGAACCTTCTTTCTTCATCATGTGTTCCATAAATGCTGACTGTTTTTGTCTGATAGCAAACATTTCTTTGGAGTTTCTATTCTCCTTTGAATTTCCTTATCAAACATTCTGTCGATGATATTACCAACATGCATCAGTATAACCAATTCTCTGAAATTGCCTAACTTTCACTGCCAGAAAAGTATAATATAGTAATCCATCATGTTCAATTCCAAACTCAGTTTCTGAAAAATATATTTAATTCTATTTCTCTTTCTGTATCAAACTTGTCATCTGTTATTAGACAGCTCAGAGACTTGAATTCAATTCTGTCTGGCTGGTTACACACACACACACGCATACTATTTATTGTTGAAACTTGACTAATGCATGGAATAATAATGCAACACAAAATGTATTGAAACAAGAAAGTGTACACAATATTTACATATTGTCTTTTGTATATTCCTGGTAAGACCATTCCTGGAGAATGTGTTGACTGAGTCGCAGTCGGGCAGAGTCTCTGGTTGAATCTCTTGATTCCTCCCTCTCTTCCCGGTACCAACCATATTTATATGGTCGGTACTCCACTATGAAAATTACGTGGATCCTACCACAACATTTATGTTGTACTCTTCGGCCTTCTTCAGGAATGATGGAATGTCAAACACCCTTTATTTTGCTCACTGGGGTAGACTCTAGTTTCACCTCCTATGTCTAATGGATGTCATTTTCCAGTTATCTCCTCTCAGATCTCTTCAGTTAATCCCCTCTATACTCTTAACCAGGTATTGAACTCACACTCTTTGGGTCACTGGATCAAACTAACACCTTTATCCACTGTGCCATGTGCCCTTGAGGACATCTGTATATGAATTTCTGGGTATTATAAACCTTGTGTTTTCAGCAATCATTTTTTACCAGTGCTCATATTGCAATTTTTGTTGTTATTATCGCTTTTCTCTGGCACTCCTTATTACTGTTTCCGATATTGTATTCATTTCTATGCTTGGTCAGCTCAGGAGATTTTTGTGGCCTAGCATATGTGCTGATTTCTTAAGTTTACGAATTTTCCAATGGTGTTCTTTGTCTATGATCTCAACCTGATCCCACAGAGGGCAGTGATCTCCCTTTTCTCTCCATATGTGGTCAGCCATGCCTGATTTTTCCATTTCCCCTCATGTTACAGCTTTCTGGTGTCCTTGGTGTCTCATCTTTCTATTTCTTTCCGCTAGGTAACAAAAATCTCCTGAGCCGACCAAGCAATATAGGAATCAGTAATAAGGAGTGCCAGAAAAAAGTAATAATAACAACAAAAATTGCAATATGGGCTCCAGTAAAAACATGCAATGATAACAGCAAAAATTGCAATATGAGCACTGGTAAAAAAATGATTGCTGTATACATTAGGTTTATAATACCCAGAAATTAATTCACAGACATTAATTCAAGGAAACATGGCACAGTGGATAAAGGTGTTAGTTAAATCCAGTGACAGGACCCAAACAGTGTGAGTTCAATACCTGGTTAAGGCGGCGGAGAACTTGGAGAGGGAATTAAGCAGGAGATAACTGGAAACTGACATCCATTAGACATGGTATGTGGAGCTAGAACAGTCTACCCTAGTGAGCGAAATAAAGCATTCAGTTCGAAATTCCAACCACCTGAAGAAGGCCAAAACATTATAATAAATATGGTGACAAAGATGAGGACAATAGTCTGAATAATGTAAATAGTGTACATAATACCTCATATATATATGTATGTATATATATATATATATATATATATATATATAACCATAGATATCCACTACCCTCATCCTTTCTTCTATCACTCCTATCTGATCTTGTTCTAAACTTTCTGTAACCCCTTGTGTCCTAGTGGCTTCTCGCCTTGCTTGGGGTGAAATGCTTAAAAAAAAAAAAAAAAAAAAAAGATATATATATCTGCAGTTATTGTGGAATGAGCATTAGCAAACTATTCTCACAGAGCAATTTGCTTGTGTTGAGTATCTTTGATCCTCATTTATACCTGAATTTTATGATCTTGTATTAGACTAAGTTAAATTTAGTCATATGTGCCAGATAAATTTTTTGACTCCTATCAAAATACATGTACATGCATTTCTGAGTATGTGCATGCATTTGTGCATCCATAAGAGTAAAAAAAATGTTTTTGTCTTGACCAAAAAGGGATTCAGAAAAGAGATTCTTATGTATGTTCATTTAGTCAGATTGTTGGAAATGGGTCAGGTTGAGAATTTTTCAGCACCCCCTTGTATGTATATGTGTAAATATATAGATAGGTCTTTGCTTTTCTTTATGACAATGGTTAATGGTCATTTGCACAGAATATATTAAGTCACGTCCTTTCATGCTCATATTTAAAATAAATCTGTATAAAAAAGAAGACAAAATTTTAAACATTCTGTTTATATTCTACTCTGTAACCAATGAAATCCAATATCCTTCTCTGTTGTCCTCCTCCACTTTGTGTATGGTTGACTGCATAAAATATAACATGCTTATCTTCTCTTATTTTGTTTTTAGATTTAGTTTAGCAATGACGATCTAAGTGTGTATTTCAACTCTTATAGTTGATGTGGCCAATACAAGATAGGTATGACCTGTAAAAATAACTGCAACATAATGTTCAAGAGGAGGGTGAATTTTTACTAGAACTTGGGTTTTGTGGTCATCCATACCTGCAATCTTATATCTGCAATATATATATATATATATATATATATATATATATTTACACACACAATTGTATGGATATGAGTTGAAATCCAGGGTCACAAACTCATATCCATACAACTGAATATGTTAGTTCTATCACTGATATTGAGTGCTTTCCACTAAGTACTGCATATACAAAATAATATATATATATATATATATATATGAAGAAATACACTCTTAAGGTGTGCTATATTTATGGGATAAAGTGCTCAATATCAGAGATAGTGTGTGTAAATACAAAAGTGAACATTGAAATCAACACTTAGAGGCGACAGGCTGTTTCATGCTAGACACAATCGTCAGGCCACAAGTCTGACAATTGCGTCAGGCATGAAACACCCTGTCGCCTCTGTTGACTTCAATGCTCATTATATATATATATATATATATAACATAATTGTATGGATAATATAAGTTGAAACCCAGGGTCACAAACTCATACCCATACAACTGAATATGTTAGTTCTATCACTGATATTGAGTGCTTTCCACTAAGTACTGCCTATACAAAATAATATATATTAAATATTAGATTTAAGCTTTAATACAAAATAATATGTATATATATAATTTAAACATAAAAACATTGCCAAAATGTAAATGAAAACCATATTGTAGTTTCTGAGGATTATGATAATGGTGCATTCAGGAATTGTTTGCAAAAATCAATCTAAACCTTTTCATTATTTTTTGAGATTCTTATGCTCATTCCAGAATTTCTATTCATTTTTCGTTAATATTATTAATCGATGTAATTATTCAGCATTGTTTCTTTTTTTTCAAGTTCTCTTCAGTTCATCTGAAATCTTATGAACAATGAGAATATTTTCTCCTCTGTTTCTCTTTTCTTTTTTCACAGTTCTACATCATGCTTACATTGATGCTAGTGATAGAATTGTCAATCGGTGTCCTTATATGGCTCTTCTTCTCAGCTCCAGTGTCCACAGAAAAACTTATGGAGACTCCCAAAAAGCTTCTCACACAAGCATTATTTCGATATAAAGATGATAAAGATTTGCGTATTTGGATTGATCTTATACAGTATGAGGTAAGTCAATATTAAAGTATTTGTACGACATAAGCAATTTTAATGTCAGTATGGAAATATTGGAAAATGATAATTTTAAGTCAGTGTTAAAATATCTGTGAAAGGGAGAGCAATTTTAAATCGGTATTAAAATATTTAAATAAAAAATCTTGAAAGCTTAGTCTAAATTTATTAATTTATTAAATCACTGACATAATAATCTTAATTATCTAAATTTCTTTGGTATCAAAATATCTTGTAGGAAAGCAACAAAAATTAATTTGAAATAAGTATTGGCCAAATTTGACAGTGCTTCATCTTTATTGAACATACATATAAAAAATTAAAATAATATTACTATTACTAATATAATCAGTGTACATGAAAATAAATATTGGCCTGTATATGTGTGTGTGTATGAGAAAGAGGGAGAGAGAGGGAGGGAGGTAATAAAGTGTAAATTAGATTTCAGCTCCTGCCAGATATGATCACTTGTAGATTAACTGGCAGATTAGTTAATATGAATAACTTGGTATCCATATGAAAAGAGATATGAGTTTAAGTTTTGCTCATAGCTTATTCTTTAATTCCAAACTGTTCACTTTACTGATAGCCATAGACTGATAATCTTAATAGCAAGGGATACCAAAATCCAAGATGTTATAAGCTTTACTACCATAAAGAGTATTTTGCTATATGTGTACTAAAATACCAAATGAGTTTTAAGATTTTTCTTTTTCTGTGGGTTACATGGATAAAAGTTGAACTCATAATTGATCTTTGGAAATCTGTGTACCATTATACATCTGATACCAAACACCTTTTACTAGAATTTGGATGTGAAAAAGGTAAAAAAGGATCCACCATTCTGGCATCTTGCTAGTCTTTTGGAGTGACTTGCATATCCAAGAACTCAATCAAAATTATAAAATTTAAGTTAATGCCTAGAAATTGGTACATGAGTACTTATTCAAAATAAGTGAAACCTTACTTGCTGAGTATAAGATTATTTGCTTAAAGGGTTGTCCCAAGTATATACCAACTCTATAAGTTATCCTCATAACACAGGCATACAACCAATTAATAACATGGGTGATTTTTCACTATAATAGCTCACAAAATTTTAGTACAGGTGTATAAAAATATCAAACTTCCAGACTGTGCACTCATATCATTAATATTTCTTTACATATTCCTATTTCTATATTTCTATTATATATATATATATATATATATATATATATATATATATATATATATATATATATATTAATGAAAATCTTGGTAATCTGTATTCTTTAAATTAAATTATATATATATATATTTAGATATATATATATATATATATCATATCTTGGATTTTGCTACCAGCACCATCCTATTAATAGTTGTAATGAAAATTAACTAATAGATGACAGAAGTGCTATAGTAATAACTGTAATTATTATTATGAAGTTAACTAATTACTTTGCTTAATTTTGTCTTTGAAGTACTCTATTTAAACCCACCTAGAAAATCACTAGAAATTCTGTTAAATTAAAACATTAGGGCTTTTCCCATCTATTATTGACAAGAAAAATAATGTAGCCTTTTATCTTGAATTTTGTACAAGAATTAAAAAGCAGAACCTGTAAGTGAGAAGAATTTTGAAAAGAAATGCCACACTATTGTTTGATTCTGCAAATGTACTTTATTTCTTCAGGGATTCCATTTTCTGATTGGACTTGTTGAAATTGGTGCCTTGCTGACATGAAAGCCAATTCTGTCTACTAAGCAATTCACCCAGAGGATTTCTAAATATAGCTTCTGAATAAAGGACATACAATTCTCTTCTTGAATGAGTGAAAAATAATCTGATTCAATTGTCATACTTTGGAGCTGCTTCATCTCTCTCTCACTTTTGTTCTATCTATTTCATTCTTCATTCTTTCTTTTTCTCTCTTTATTTGTTCATTCCCCCTTTCTTTCTCCCCCGCTCTCTCATCTTTTACTTGTTCATTCTTTTTAACTTTCATTATCATTATATTATTTCTCTTTCCCTTTTTCTTTCTTTGTTTCTTTCAAAGCACCAAACAACTTAGGATTACTCATATTACACTTCTCCTACCACTTTTACTAATAATAAATTGCTTATATTGAGAGGTACAGATGGGTCATTTGGGGAAGAGACAAACTCCAGCTGTTAGTTACCATAGCTACAAACAGAAAAAAGAGTAACTGACCAGTCATACAATGTCTGTTTTTTTGTTGATTAAATAAAACTTAGTATTTATTTATTTATTTTGTATTTCTTTACATAACGTTAGCTTGTAAAATAATTGCTTTCTTTTTTCTTTCCTTAAATAATATAAATGATTCCATTCATTCTTTTTTTTCTTCAATGGCTTCTCTTTTTCATTTATTTCATTCATTTTTCTAGTTTCCTTCCTTTTAAGTCGTCTTCTTTTCTTTTTCACATTTACATTCATTCATTGTTTATCATGCAAGTCAATGTTTTCACAATAAAATCCATATTAAAAATATAAAAATTATTATATACTAAATAATATAATCAATAATATAGGTTAAAATTTTCAGAATATATTTATATGCGTATTATAGTGTGTGTGTGTTTTTATTCTTAGAACATATATTCATACAAAAATGATAATGAATTGTTTCAACAATGTCAGATTTGAATATGCAGGCAAAATAGGTGCTATATAAAATTTTCATTTATATAATAAATCCTAAAATACAGGCCATAGAAACATATATTTTATTCACACGATAGCCTGTATACATAGATGAATTATTATTTCATTATTTTAAATATCAATATAATCTCCTTGATATTCTATAACTACATAAATCATTCATTCATTGATTTCATTAACTTTAATTGTCTTTTGACTTTTAATATTACTTGTAAGAGTTTTACTCCTTTCAAGAGATCTTTATTGATTGAATATCACTTTCTATTTGCATATACTTCAGTTTTAATACTATTTACATTATTCAGACTATTGTCCTCATCTTTGTTGCCATATTTATCACAATGTTTTGCCTGTTGTATGCTCTGGCCTTCTTCAGGTGGGTGAAATGTCAAACTGAATCTTTATTTCGTTTACTGGAGTTAACTGTTCTATTTCCACGTGCCATGTCTAATGGATGTAATTTATCAGTTATCTCCTGTTAATCCACTTCTCCATAATACCTCATCTCAGAAATATAGACAGATACTTCAGTTTTAATGTTAGACTGCAAGCTTTTTACTGAATTTATATCTGGAGATGACGGGGAAATTTCATCAATTTGATGTTTTTGAAACTTTTTTGAAAAGTTGAGAAAACTTAGGTTTGCAGAATGGGAAGGAATGTTGTCTTGCATGAATATACTTTTCAGCTTGAAACTTCTTGTGCTGTACCACTGAAAAACATCTTATCCCAGAATTTATAATACATCTCTGCATTTATGTTGACACTACCATCAATTTTGAAGAGACCTAAAATCTTACTGCCTACAATATCAGGACAAAACATTACTGAACATTACAAAAACTCTAGCCAAGCCATGAGGTCCAATATCACTTTGGTAAAATATTCAATTATATATAAATCAGTGATCTATTTCAAAAAATTCTTCAACAAAACCTACAGTTCAAAAGAAGAAATTCACTTACAGCAATGCAATGTCTGACAAATCTGTACTGTATATGCCAGCCTCATGTGGGCAACTTCAACAAGTCTATGTTATATGTATATGTATATAAATATATGTACACATAGATTAGTGGATTAGTAAATCTGTAGCATGATATACAGTAATATGACAGTCACTAACAACATCAAAAAGAAGAAAATATTTATTATAAAATAACAAGCAACTTCTAACAAAATTATATTTAGCCATTACACACATGATCATTAATATATATATATATATATATATATAAAAAAGAAATTAAAAAATTAAACATAAATATGATTTTAAAAAAATGTATGAAATATCTTGATTTTTGAAATCAAAGTCTCAAATTAATAACCAGATTTCTTGCTTAAAACCTTAAAATAGGCTGTAAGGTTGATTTGACAGAGAAAGAGAAACATTTAATAACTTCAGAGCTTTCAAAAATAAAACAGAGCTTGAAATTGCAAAAATGATCAGCATGTATCACTGAATGTCGAAGAAGTTCATTGAAGATCTTGGATGATTCTGATTCAGGTTTGATAAGGTCAACTCAAGAAGTAAGGGTTGTACCAACAATGATTGTTCAATAAAATATGAAAAAAAATTCCAAAAGACTTTTTGTTTTCTATGAGAAAAACAAATAGGGATAAAACCATGGGACTCAGCTAAAGCATTTGAAATGATTAACACTTTTTTGTCAGAATTATGTCCAGTATTTTTCAAGGTAAATGAGAAAAGAACATGTAAGAGCATACACAGAAACAATACAATTTTAACTTATCATCAATTAATACAATCAGTGACTGATGATGATTACTATGAACAGGATATTAAACTTATACAAAAGTTGATTGTGTTTCCTTTTGATTGTGTTTGAGTTAAATTTAGAATAGGAGCAGACTAATTACTCTCTTTTGGAAAGAAATTGCTTCTCCTAATCAAAGGTAACAAAACATACTTTAAAACATAGTTACATAAGTTTTTCTGGGAATAAAAATATACAATGACTTTAATTGATTTTTGTTGAGAGAGACTTCAGACATGCAAATATTTATATATATATATATATATATATATATATATATATATATTTATATATATATTTTGACATCATAAGGAAAAATGATTTGACTTAAAACCAAAATTTATTGAATTAAAATACAACAGACTTTGATCTGAAAAGGAAACACAAGAAAAGTACTGACTATAAATCTCTAAAAATAATATTTCTTTTCAGTTTTGAATGTCATATTTCCATTGTCTTATGGATACTGTGGAATTGTCAAGATGCCTACATTTTTTTTTATTTAAGCTCACTGCTAGAAATGTCAGAAGCTATGAGAACATTTCAT